TTACAAATTTTTTGTTGCATACAAAATTCCAATTTTTTTACCCAAAACTCGAGAAGCTTCTAGTTCCGTGCAAGATATACATTCGAGCGTATGGTCGTCCACCATATTGAATGACAGCAGTATAAATTCTAAAAATGTGTAAAAAGTTGCACGAAACTGATTGGTGTAAGTATAAGTAGCCACAATAAAAAATTATTTTGATTTCTAATAAATAAAAATAAAATAAAATTCATTATATTATTCCTTTAGTTATCACTGCAAAAGTCATTGCATCATTGTAACATGAAATAGAAATTTTGAAACAAAATTGTAAAACCAGTCGTTTTGACTGGTGTGGTAGTTCTAATATTAAGAAGTACTGGAGAGAAAAAAAAAGAAATCGCTGTTCTGGAGTAAGTTGTTAGAGAAAAAGTAAAGTAAACATAGCGTCAAACGAATCATAAAACGAAACAGAGAGAAAGTTAATTAAGATTGTTGTCGGATTGACGCCAGATTCTGTCATTTTATGCATAAATGAACGTGCTCAAGCCGCAATCGCGCGAAACGATTGTGTCTCTATAGTGTCTCTCCGCAGACATAAGTACCGTTTCCGTCAATAGCACCATTCATTACGGACTTTCTCCGTTTTCTTATAATTCGTATGGTTGACGATATTTGCTCGCGTGCTCGCGTTTCCGTTTCTCGCGCGTGCATTGTTTGCGATGAAATGGAAAATTTGGATCGTTTCATTCGGCCATTGTTTGCTCAGCAGCGGCAGTTTGACATGCAACGCTCGTGGAAAATGGCAAGGAGATCTACCGTTCTGTGGTAAGCATTCGTTTGACATTTGCCTTTCGTTCGGAAATCTTTCTCATCCAAATTTTCTCGTTCCCCACACTCGAATCACACACATTTCTCTTGACAGTAAGATCATCACGCAGCTTTCTCTTCGGACGTACAAATTTCTATATCCAATAAAGTATCGCACCTTGATCGCATCGATCGAAGAAATTAAATTCTTTTTCCCCTTGAAATGTAGCACGCAGGTAGAAAGTGATTTTTCGTATGCTGCGTAAAAGGTAACCTCGTTAAAATGCGCCTTCGTCCGAGCTTGCGTATCGTTTGGTCTCGCTTTTTTCCGTTCGTCGCGACGTTTCACTTTTACCCGCAAGATCCGCT